ATGTTAGAAGCTGACAAACAGCTTCTAACCAGGTCCAGATGCTTTTTCTTTCTGCATAATTTGAAATCTAACATTTCAGGCACTGTGTGCCGTTCAGTTCTTTTCCCTCCAGCTTGAACTTGCATGCTGGAACCAAACATTATGCTAATGATCTCCAGGGACCTAGCATTGCTGTTGCTTAGGAACAAAAGTTTCACAGGCTGTGGAAGGAGAATTGAATAGAGAGACCTTGGAGCTGGGGAAATCCTTTTTGCCACTCCTCCTCCTCCCTGCACACTCACATACACAAGTTTCTTGAAGGGCTGCCATTTTCCACCACAGAAGTATGATTCAGCGTTTGCAGGACTGTGCAAAGGAAATTGTCCTCTGCTCCCCACTCACAGGTTTATTTACAGACTGAAAGACTAATTCATTACTCAAAGAAGAGTAGACAGAGGACGACTACACGGTAACAGACCACGAAGGTTCATCCCACACTACTGAAAAAACAAGCAGCTTGTGACATCTATACCTCGCCTTTTAAGTCTTCCTAGCTGCTAGCCGGTAAGATCTTATGCATGGGGACAGTCTGGCAGAGTTGTTAAGATGAAACAATATTTTTGTTTATTCTTGGTGGGCCTTGGTTTTATAAGTGACCTTGCTCTGAAGTGATCTAGAAAAGTAAGAAAATTAAGGAAGGAAACCTCTCTCTCTCTATTTGCTCGTGGCAGGATTTAGTCTAAACTTGCCTGTTAGCAAGAGACTGCATTTAAGATAGTCAGTGAATTAATCTCTCTTCCACAACAGGTCGTATCCAACAAAAAGAAATGGTAACAGGCTTGTAAGCAGGGAAATAAAAACACAACCTAGCTGGAACTGCTTGGCTTCGTGTAAAATCATTCACTGTACAAATGCCGGTTTTAAGCTTTATATGAAAGTATTTCCATAGAGCTATTCCATAGGTGAATTAGAATGTGCCACCTCACTGCCTTCCTGTCCCCAGAGAGCTGCAGGGCATCCATAGCTCCACTGGGCTTGGCAAGCCTGCTCCACAACGCACAGACTTCCAGGAGGAGAGACAGAGGAACCTTCTCTCACAGACTAGTTCAAGATGGGATCAACCTCCATGCAGCTTTGGGTGCAGTGAAGTAGGAAGCAGCAACCTACAGGAGGAAAAGAACATGCAGAACCACAGAGGAGATCCTGAAACATCCAGACAGTGTCACAGGCAGAAGGCTTGTCCTGCTCCTGCCAGCCCTATGCTGAGAAAGGAAGAAGAACGGTTCAGGTAGAAGGAACTGAATGATCAGGGTCCAAATCTGTATTCTTCTAGGATCAGATATCCTTAGGACAGGCTTAAGCTACAATGGCTCATGACTGGGCCTTGTGCAAGCGCTTAAATGCAGATAAGGAGCAATCTCCAATCCTCCCTTGCCTCAGAGAGAGGCTGACAGTCCTAGTCCTGATGGCTCAAGGTCTGTTCCCTCCCTGCAGCTCCCAGCAACACAGAGCACCACAGACAGCATGATGCCCTTGACGTACATTTTTTATTCGTTTCTGTATCAGGTCATCCCTCAAAGCTCTTGGTCTGTGAAACACTGCTAAAGCTCTGAGGTTAGCCCTGGGCTTTCAAAAGCCCAATCCAGACCAAAGATTTTACCAAGTGTGGATAAAAAGGGACAGAGTTTTCTAGTCAAGGTGCTCTTTAGCGAGACCTTATCACATGGAAACGCAGGACCCACCCTTGGGCAAAGGCTTGCCAGCAGCTCAGAGGGAGAACCCAGCCAGTGGGGTGAGGGTTTAGAGAAAACGAGTAAAGAGAGTTCCCTCTTGTCATCATAATTTCTTAGGAAGTAGGGCAACACATCTACCTCTCCCTCTGCCATCCCAGGAGATGCACTGCAAGCATGAGATCAAACAGGCATAATTAACATTTACAGCAAGGAGGGCTCCTGCGATTCCTGAATTTTTAATATCAGTGGCTACAGAACTGGAACCCTCTTATGCAGAGTGAAAGAAAATGAGACGTGGCTAAGTAAGCGCCATTATCCTCAGCTACAGCCCTGTGAAACACTGATAATTAGTTTACAAGCATGCAGAGACAAGAGAGCTATTCATCCCCTTCAAGCTGTCTAGTGGGCTGGGTTGTTTCTGCAGAACTTTAATGCTAATCCCTATCTTTGGGATTGAAAATCACCTTTTTGTAAGTTTGAAACGTAGCTCCCACTTTTAACCCAAAGAAAATAGCACTTGGAAAGTGTGAGCACTCCCTAGGGACTCACGTTTTCCTGATCAGTGCATCTCAGAGGTCCACAATAGGATTTTAAAAAATCTGAGTAAAAGGAGGTGGTTAAATCTCCTTGAAGTCTGGGCACTATCCAGTGCATAACACAAAGAGATCTGTATTCAGGAAAATTACACTGATCTGTTCGTTTGGACTTCTTAAAAATCTGAAAGGTCCAGGTTGAAACTTTGTAACAAGTTGGCAAGGTTTATTCACAGAGAAGTACCCAAAGCCAAAAGGTTAAACTACTGTTATCCCTGACAAGCCTCCAGCACTCAACCTTCTACACCAGGCTCCCTCTAGTGCTCCCAGGCAGGCACAGCACCGAGGGACACCAGCACTGGGAACCAGCAATAAGAGATAGATGCAAAATAGGCTGAATTTTTGGCTAGCTGGTATTTTTAAGAAAGGAAACTGTTTTGGATCAGTTTCCCCCTTGGAATGTAAATGAAAATTAAAAGAAAAAAATTACTAGAAATTGAACGATTTTTTTTCTTTCTAAGAGTTTTTAAAGATGTTTTTAAAAACATTTCAAAAGAAATAATTTTGAATTTAGAAAAAAAAAATATGCATTTTTCCTTGAGGCTCCCTTTCATTTTTTTTAAGGCATATTTGGCTGAAAAACTTCACTCATCAAAATGCACTGAATGTTTTGGTCAACTCATTCCACACAAAATTCAAACAAAGAGAAAGTTGGACCCAAAAGTCAACGGGTTCACATCAACTGCAGGAAGTAGAAAATCTCTTTCCATCCTGCCAAAGTGTAAGGAAGCTGCTCCGCAGATCTTTTTCTGAAGCATGGTAGTCACTCTCTGTGCACCAGTAAGGGGCTTAGGATGTCCTGAGTCAGCAGTAGGGCTCTGGCATTTCCCATGCAGCTGAACTTGATCTTCAGAGAATTGACAACCAGAATATTGCATCAAATCCTTAAAATGAGTAACTTGTAATTAAAAAAACCCTATTGTTTTGATCTCCAGAACTTCCTACCCCCTCCTGGGCAAACTATTTAAGCTAACATCAACAAAGGTGGAAAAAGTACTTAATTTTCCACTGTGGAGTACTTACCCTGGAGCACTGTAAAGTTAAATACAGCAAAGACTGAGAGGCCTTCAGATTTAACAGTAATATGGCCCTGTAAGTACTACTGAGAGACAGAAACATGGGAGTGACAGACAGAAAGATTTAACTGTGTTTAAATATTTTTACATAAAATAACAAAGATTCAATTTTGGAACATACCCTCCAGGCAAGACTGACCCCACTATGATGCTTCCAGGATTTTCTGAAGCATCTGCCTCATTACAGAGCTCCCGGGAGGGTGGGTGGTAAGTGGCAGACATCCCCCTTGCTTTTGCATTATTTTTGGCTATGGCATGTAATTGAAAAGGAGCCGCGATGCCTTAGTTGTAGCCTGAGCTTCCCCTTCATGTATTTGCACATGATTAATGAATAGCCAAAAAGCCTGAAGGGTTTGTAATGAAGCCTTCCTAATAGGGAAATGTATTGTAGACAAATCTATATTTTGTCCCAAACAACCATTCATCAAAGGAGCGATTTGACTCTTCACAATTAAATGCCAGAGCACCCAGACTATCCTGAGATTAGCCAGCTGTAACCCATGCACCTCTCTGCACTCTGGCTGGGAAGGACTTTGTCATCCATTTCCAGGGAATCAGCCTATTCCCTCTGTCACTAGCCATAATTAGCACCTGTATTTGATGGCCTTCGATTAGAGAGATCGATCACCAAACCCGAGACTACAGTGGACTACTACTCATACAGGCCTCAATTCATCAAAGCACATAGCACATGCTGAGCACCAACCAATATGAGTCAAAAGTCTGACCAGAACACCTACACGCATTTTTTGAGGGCAGGGTACCTCCGCAGTGGGAGTCCTTCTGTCCCACAGCAAGGATGGAAGGACAATGTTAGAGTATCCAGAGTCTGTCCTTGAAAGCACAGGAGACACTTACCTAGGCCCGATTTAACATGTCATTAAGCAGCATTGACGCAGACCCCCTGTTGCAGTCTGCCCTGCAGGTGAGGAGTGAACTGCAAGCAGTCCTGGCAAATCTGGGAGCCCACTATGTTCTTGAGGTCCTGGTTAAAACAGAGACTCTTAATCATTTGCTTTAAATATTTAATCTTTCAACTGTGTCCAGAGCCCAAATCTCAGGTCCATTAAACAGGATGTTTAACCAACCTGTCAACAGACACCAGGCCTGTAAAGAAAGCAACCTGTTGGTCTGGTAGAATAAGTACAATTTTGGATAGCTTCTTTTAGTGCAGTCCCTAAGGACTGGGTTTAAATTCACAATATGTTTTGCTTAGGTCCTCAAATTGCTGATGGATAATAACACATTTCATTCAGTTTCATTACATGCTGAGCTCAAATTAGTATCTAGGGATGAAAGATAGCAAATTCCTCCCACTTGTAATTTCACCCTGTAATGCAACATAGGTGTTAGAATGCAATAAAAAATATTGTAAATTATTAGATTTTCACGTACTCAAAATACTTTCAGGAAGAACTTTCAGAGGTGCAGGTCCAGGGTTGAAAATTTCTGACCTTAAAAATATACTTCTGAAGAGTCCAGAGGTCACATGTTAATTTATAACTGAGTGATTATTTTGTTTTTAATTAGGAAGTAACAGCTACTGCTTTCAAAGGCTTTACTGGAGTTCCCACACTTCATCAAGAGGCTGGTGTGTCTGTCTGTCTCTCAGTGGAGAGATGGCTAAGGGGAAAGGAAAAGGTCAAAAAGGGAAGAAGATCACTTTGAAAATTGCCAAAAATTCCATCCGGGTATCTTTTGATGGAGGGCGCCGTCTTGACTTAAGCAAGATGGGTATCACCACCTTCCCCAAGTGCATTCTGAAACTGGCTGATGTGGATGAACTTGATTTGAGCAGAAACATGTTAAAAAAGATTCCAAGCAGCATCCAGAAGTTCCAGAAACTGCGCTGGCTGGACCTGCACAGTAATCAGCTCGAGGAGCTGCCCGAGGCAATAGGTACACTTCAGAACCTTTTCTACCTGAATATATGCAACAACAAGCTCACCACCAAAAATCTGCCAGAAGAGTTGAATCTTCTCAAGAACCTGCATATTCTCAACCTTGGGTTGAACTGTCTTGACAGTATTCCCACCAGTCTTGGGGCCCTGAAGGAACTTACAGAGATAGGTCTCTTTGACAACGCCTTGACCACCATCCCAAACAGCGTGAAAATGCTCCCCAAGCTCAAGAAACTGAATGCAAAAGGAAACCCTTTCCCTGATTCAACAAAGCAAGAAGAGCATACCGACTCCATCAAACGCATAGAAACGCTTCACTTGGTACAAGAGAAAGACCTGTGCTGTTCCTGCCTGAAGATGTGTCAGGATGAGAGGGACAAGCTGAACAAGTTAAAGAATGTGACACCCAGCCCCTCAAAGAAGCCAAGTTTCCCTTCGCTCATTACACCCAATTCCACTGCAAAGGATAACCAAGAAGAATGGAGATTAAGAAGGGAACATCCTTGAAATCTACAAAGTCACTCCACAGACCATGTCTCATGAAGTCCAGCCCTAACTATTAAAAAACTGACCTCCTTCCTCCTCCCTTTTCCTGCAGTTCTCTTCCTTTAAAGATATATGCAGTTTTAGAAGCAGCAGATCTGTGTGGTCTCTAAAATTAAATCCGAAACAACTAAAACAGATGTATATTTGGGAAAGGGAGCATTTGGGAAAGGAAGGACTATTCCCTAGCATCTGGGCCTGTTCATACAACACGTTCTCCATGTTTGGGTTTTGGGCTTTTTTTTTTTTGTTCTTATGTGTATGCACGTGTTCAGTGAAGGAATCTTCAAAAAGATAGGTTTTTCTCCACTCCCACCACTGAGCCCCAAGCATTAGTCCTGTTCATTTTTTTAGAGTGAGACACAGTTAAACTAGTCTCAGCAAATGCCATTTGGAGGAACAGACCTGGGAACCTTCTGCTGCTGGTGGCTGCCACCAGACCCTCAGGGAATCTCAGACAGGCACTATCAGTGTAGAAACCATGAGCCCGGTCCAATTTAGCAGAGGCAGCAGACACAAGTGTTATGCTCAGGAGTAACTAAGCAGTGCAAACACAATGCTTAGAGCTAAACAATCAGTGATCCTGTTTGTCATCAAGGGGCCAGACTCCGCATAAACAAGTTCTCTGGAATTTCAGATGCTACACCTGGGTGCAGTGATATCTAACTCGCATGACATAATCAGTATCACTACTCATCACACTCATTGTGTTTTGTTTGCCTCTGAGTTTCTCTCAAAGAAAGGTACAGAAGGGGGAAGGGGCAGGGAAAAAAATTCCTCTTTTTAAGGGTCCTGGGCATATCACTTAAACAGTGAATAAGAAAAGAAGAGTCACGGTTTTCCATGATCCAAGAATCAGTTGGTGAATTGATAAAAACAGGTCTGGTGTCCCCACAGTACTTTTAGCTTTCTGTTCACATGGGCGCATGCACATGTGCACCTGAGCACACACATTCACTTGCTCAAATCACATCCCTAGGGCAGAGTTTGTTGGCAGCCTGCAAACGGCAATATACAGGTACAAACAATGAGCAGATTATAAAAGCAGTCAAGCATGACACAAGAAGAGGTGCTGGCTGTGGTCATAGTAACATATGGTGATAGCAAACATTTAAGAATATTTAAATGAAGAATAAAGTGCCAGGGGCAAAGTACTCAGTTGTCCAGTAACAGCCCATTATCATTTTTTAAATGGCTACAGTAGAGCCTGGGAGTCAGAACTCCTGTGTATTATTCCTATGGACTAGGTGCAAAAACTGATACAGAGTTTTCCAGAAATGTTACTACCTCAATGTCATATGATACCTCAAAATAGTAATTTCTTCTTTCCATGCTTCAGCTGTGCAATTATTAATCGTGTGTCTGGGCAAAGAGCTTAGTCTGGCCTGCCTTCCTGTCTCAGGTAGAGGAAGACCTGACATGCTATGGAAGATGGTCATTGCTCCCTAGATGGGGAAGGGGCCCCTTGTACTGCTCTTGAATTCTTCTGACTCAGAAGTGGCTCCAGCATTCAAACGAGGGAAAAGTAAACGCATCAAGTCCTCAGTCCTTCAGTTCCCTGACTGGAGTTTGTTAAAGAGAAGTGTGCCCACTGGGGTCATTTTCTTGAACTTTCCACTTAAGCACAATTTTTCTGGGATCATTACTTCGGCAGTGGCACTATCTTACGTCTATATTATTTCAGCTCATGCTTAAAGGGGCCATTCTGCATAAGCAAGTTATCTGGGATTTTGGGTGCTTCACCTGGGTGCAGTGATCTCTAACTTGCACGACACAATCAATCAGCACCACTATAACATGCCAAAACATCCATGTGTACATCTATCACTGTCTGCCCTAACCACACAATAAAGAGGCCATTATGCAGAGGCATTATGGATTAGCTCTAACCTCACCTCACTGCCTGTCTCTTTCCCACACTAGCCATCTGTGTAGAGTTTACCAATAAAGTCATATTAAGGAGATAATAATTATCAATCAACTACGCACAGTCAGCTACTCGACACATTCTTCATGTCCTCATACTGTGGATGCTGTACACTAGAATGCTTTTCAGAGTTTTGCGGACACCTTTGAATCTTTAAAATAGGGGGCACAAATAGGTCAGTTTCTAGATGTTTTTTTAAGGTGCAATTTATTCACAAAATTGCATTTGTTATCTACAGTTATCCAATATTTCCTATGTTTTGTTTTACCTTATATTCAGGGACTTCTCTGTTATCCCCTTTGACTTCAAAGCAGGTTGGAAAGAGCAAAATCTATAGGAAATATGAAAGGTCACATTACAATTATTTAAATAGTTATCTGTATACATTACATATGTACATAATCTATGTCACATCCTGACAGCAACTTTCTTCCTGAAAGACGCCACAGCATTTCACTGAAACTTGAACCCAGGACAAAGGTGCAAGACAACACAGCAAAAGCATACATTTAATATTAAGGAGTTGCCTATGGGCTGGATAAAAGCAGTTTCTTTCCCAAATAGGGCCTTGAATTGATGTATAGGGCTACAGACTACTGATCATGTGGTTTAAGGTTCTATTAATTAAAGCCAGAGAATGAGAACCCACTGTCCTGGTTTCAGCTGGGATAGAGTCAATTTTCTTTCTAGTAGCTTCTACGTTTTGGATTTAGTATGAGAATAATGCTGATACACATATTGTTTTAGTTATTACTAAGTGATGTTTACATTAGTCAAGGACTTTTTCAGCTTCCCATAGAAGCTGAGAGGGAGCATAGACAGGACAAACTAGCCAAAGGAATATTCCATACCATAGATGTCATGCTCAGTATACAAATGGGGGTTGGTTGGTGTACAGACATCTGTGATAGCTGCTTGGGATGGGATGGGCAACTAGTCGTTAGGTGCTGAGAGTGACTTGTGTTGTATCGTTTTATTTTGTATATTCTTTTACCATTATTATTATTATTTTATCTTCTGTTACTGTGCTATTAAACTGTCTTTATCTCAACCCACAAGGGTTTTTTTCTCCTTTTTCTCCCTCTTCTCCTTACCCTACTGGGAGGGGAGAGTGAGGGAGTGGCTGGGTGGTCCTACTTGCTGGCTGGGGTTAAACCACAACACCCACTCAGATATTTACCAGCAAAAATGGCAGAAGGGAATACCAACCCATGTCTCAGCCACTCCTATGTACTTTCACTGGGGGTTTATGATGTCAGACGTATTAAACCCTTGAAATACATAGATTTGGTGACCTTCAACTGACGGGCAATATAGCCAGCTGAGGATCAAAACATTATCTCTGCCTCTGCAAGATTTCCCCAAGAGATGTTTGTCAGAGATGAGAGACAAAGATAAAGGCTAAACAAAGCAGCTGGCTCTGGGGCAGAACCTGGTGATTTGAAGTACACAGTTTATGCAGCTACTATGCACCCAGGAAGGTGCATAGAAGGAAGAATAGATAAATCTGCATTGACTTTTTAAGCAATACTGCATTAGAAACTGTTCAGAGATTTCAGGAGCAGAAGGAACTGCTATCATTGTTCAAAAATTAACAGTACCAATCCTCAGTCCATGGTGTAGAATTTACCACAGAAAATACCAGTTATTGAAGTATTTTTCCTGCGTAAGGGACAGTGAAAGTAAACCTGATATAAAGGCCAGAACTGCAGTGGGGAAAAAAAATGCTAGAAAGCAAAGTGAAAATTAATCACTTCATAATCTTACATTCACGTTCCATCAAACAAGACAAGCACATAAGGAGAAATATTTTTTAAACAAAAATTCCATTGTTAAAAGTTAACTCCACACCAAAGATATAAAGTCAGAGTCAGAGAGACAAAAACATTTTATTCCTGAAGAATCTAATGACAGACAGTTTGTGTGTTGGAAGAAAGCAGGAAGAAACCTTCTTTCACCCAGTACTGTGAGGTGAGAAGGAAGTGGCTCTCACCTCAGTGAAAGGAAGCAGCACAGCTACAACTGCAGTTTCCTGGGATGCAGGAATATACAACACACCACTGGGTGCTAGAAGAGTCCTACAGATGCATTAGCTCCCTTGATAAATCAATGGCTATATAATGCTTCGAAGAATTCCCAGGTCAGCAAAAGGAAAACTTCATAGCTTAGTGTAACCCGTTAAAGACCAAGGAGCTGCAATTGAAGAAAAAGCCCCTGGAGCAGCACAAGACAGGCATCTGAAGTCAGGATAAATGGGGGTGATAGACCAGTAGTGTCACCTCAGTGTTCCCGTGTTATTATGAAGTAGTGATTACCTCTTAAATATCTGATTTCGGTCGCTGTCATGGAAGACAAGAAATCTGGAGTAACCATTTTTGAAGAATATTTCCAAGGCGATCTCCTGCAAAGGTAAATCATTCACAGTGTGAAGAGCTGCAAAGCAAAGCCTAGTGCTGCAAAGAGTTCACCATGGCCTGTTCAATTATTCAGGGCTTTTAAAAAAAGGCCTTGACTTTGTATCAAGTGTGAAGAAGTACAGCAAAATATGCCTAATATTCCCAGTTTCTAGAACTGTGGGAATGGTCCTACTGGGTTCACCAGGAGTTAAATGCTTCTCAGAAGCAAAACCAAACTCCAGATATTGGTTCCATCACCTGTCTCCTCCTGCTGCTTCTGAAGCATTTTTATCTTGAAATCTCAGTGTGATTAACAAGACATTAGTAGCACTAACTTCTAATTAGGTGAGAAAGAGAACATGAAGAGGGGATACTAAATAAGCATTTCTTTTAGAAAGCAACCATACCGGTTTCTAAATGAGTAGTGAGCTCAACAGAAATGCCAAAATAATTTCTCCTGACTAGAAGCAGCAGAGGAGGAAGGAGAGTTTACGACATTTCTCACTGAAGCTTTAACATTGAAGCTTTCAAAGTTGAAAACTTTGCCCCCTTTTTTCTTCCATGACTCCACACATTGTTACGTTGGACATTTGCATATAAACCTATTATTTACTTAGTCAGTCGTCCTTTTTTCCCCAAAG